TTAACGAAAATCGTCAAAATCGCAAACTACATATTATATTATTTTGTAGTAAGATTAGTAAGAAATTCATAAAACCGTTTCGTTTTGTATCTAAGTTTTACCGTTTTAATGTATTGCTACATTATAATATTAGACAGTGTATAGACTTTAACCAATGTGATACAATTTTAGTATTAAATTCTGTAAAAGTCAAATATTCGATAGTTAATAGCCGATACAGTACTTAATAATTAAATATATTTTTAGATTTATCTTAAATCAAAATAGTGGTGTAATCAGTGGTCACAAGAATGGATAAAATCGAAAGTAGGAAAACTAAAGTTTAAATTTAAAATAAAAATACTAAAAATACTATAATATTTTTCATAATACAGCAGCGCTATTATATAAGCTATTATTAAGCGACAAAAATAAACGGTGATTGCGGTGGACAATCGAGATAGAGTACATAAGCTATGATACAACATCGATAGATGGCGCTGACATTATTATACAAACGAATTGTTCCATTTGTAGGTAATCTTATGTTTAACCTCAGATGTTTAAATTATACTAGGTAAGGTATTCACTATTCAGTATTTGACATTTGAATCTGTACTTTAAACGTTGACGGTAACTGATTATGATTAACGCTAGATCTATTATTAGCTTATAGGCAGTATAAGCATCAATGCATTATTGTCCATAGGACCATAGCTCAGGCGGCAGGCCCGACATTGCCTATAACCATTTTTCTATGCATATTTTGTTTGAAATTAGGCGGTTAACCATGAATTCACAATAACTTTGGGGGAGGGGGGAATGCAAAATAAAATGTATTACCCAGGTACATTTGTCACTAATAGTATTAAATAATATATTGTAAATTGTAAAACAATATAAACTTTATTTATCGGTATACGTATACCCATTTAAAAAGAACGTGGTTGAAAATTGTGAGGAGGTGTTATCATACCTATACTCATAGATAATAGAAAGATTTTTTCTATTATCTATGCCTATACTACTTTAAAAAATCTTTAATTTTTTTAAGAAGCTTAGTTTACCTCTTTTTGTATAATATATTCCACAAGCATAAATCATAATAATATCTAAATGTCATAGATATGGATAGTATTAATTGTAGTCATTTTTATTATAACCAAAACAAAACATATGCATACTAAAATAGCGAATTCAAATAATTGAAAAACATAATAGCTAATTAGGGTTGAGATTTTATAGCACTAAAAATTGCATAAACATGCTCTATAATATGAATTTAAATATGGGTAAATATTTTCTAAAAATGTGCAATAAAAATAACAAAATATGCAAAATAAAACGGAAATTCAATAAAGTATACAATGCTTTCAACACTTGTTCAATGATAATCGGCAATCGCGTCGATATCGATAGAGAAATCCCAAACAAATCAGCAAATAACCAGTTTAATGAATTGCGTATTCGCGACTCACATATCGGTCTGTAAACTTAATCTATAATCTATAAATTTAATTTTGAAAATTCGACTGACAACAATCTGAAGATACGTTTACTAAAATATAATTTCATAGAACATGGCCAATTTTGAATCAAACACATATGAAAATGCAAAACGTCTCAAAAAGTCAAAAAATACCTAGCTATAAAATCTAAAAAGTCACAAAATTTGCAAAAATATGCAAAAGACATTTTTAATTAGAGTTATCTGTATCATAAAACACATTTTTAGATTATTGTATCATTTCTTAAGCATTTCATAAGAAAAATGCAAATGCTATAAAATCTCAACCCTGCTTATTATCATTGAATATTTATGTAAAAATTAAAAATTAGGGATTTGATTATTTGAGAAGTTTTCATAGCATAAGCTTGTCATTCGTCATGGATTTGAAGACACGTCACTGTCCAGTGTCCCGACCGGTCATTCAGTTTGTTCTAGTCAATAAAAATTAAGACTGTTAACCCGTAAGTGGTATGGTGAAAATAAATCACGCTAATGGTATGGTGCGGTCTCCTGGACCACTTAATTTTGTTAATTATATTAAAAGAAAAAAATATTTAATAATAAAACATGGAAGAATATTGTAGGTACACAATATTATTATATTATTATTAATTGTACTAAAATATTACTAATTTTAAATAAATTAACCCCATCCTGTAGACCCAAGTACCCCCCTCTAGTTGTACCTATGCAGTTGTTCCATAATTTTGTGGTCAACATTTTTATTGCTGTGTATTGGTCTGCTTATTCGAATTGCATCCCTAAATGATACCTATTGGCTATTTGTCCAAGTTGCGTCCGCAGTTTTCTCGCGACATACCTACCTATGAGTTGTGTCCATGGGTTTTTCAACAACCGAGAATGATGTTCGGTGATAAACTCGTAGATAATTTCAATTATTGATAATATTTTATCTGTAAATACCACCTTATAATTTATTGTTGGAATGTTGGAAATTAATTTTGTTCAGGTTAGTATTAGTCACACTTTGAAATTCCATTTTTTCAACAAATCATCATATCAGTATATCATTTAAGTCATTTAACTTAACAATGGAAAATAAACTATTATAATATTGATTAATGGATATAAATTCGCTTTTCAAACATTTTTGAATGTTTATATTCAAAGGTGGTCGTGTTCAAAATGTTTATATATGTGTGAAATAATTTAAAAAAGGAAAATGTATATATTATTAACTAATTTTATTAATCAATTATTAACCAGGATGTAAAAAATGTATATTTTCGTATTTTGGGATTGGAACAATGGGACGCAATTCGTACGTAGCCCTACTGATTAGAGTAATTTATGACCTATAATTTATATATAGGCACATAGGTATTAGGTATCTATATAATAATTAGTAATAATGATAAATTGATAACTTATTTTTCGAAATAAAATTCCTATTTCAAACATTAATAATTAATAATAACAGTACATATTATATAAATCAATAAATGTGTTACATAATGTAATAATAGTAATAAAATAATAGATAATATACTAAATAGAGCCAAAATAAAATATAAAAGATAAAGATATAATTGTTAATATAAATTTAACAATTATAGGTAGGTAGGTATTCATTTAAAAATTATTATTTTACTTTTCTAGAGTTATACAACTTATATTAAACAGGTCCAAGTTATTTATACAATTTCCAGTAGACATTAATACATTAGTAGAATAATAAAATTGTATACATATATGATATAATTATAATTTATAATTTATATTGATTTTATCTATATTTTTATTATTTCGTTTTTATAAATTCACACATGTATAATTTTATCGATTTAATTAATTTATATTAATGTCGATTTCACAACGGCCTCCGTGGCGCAATGGCTAGCGCGTTCGGCTGTTAACCGAAAGGTTGGTGGTTCGAGCCCACCCGGGGGCGATTAATTTTTGTAATTTTTAAAAAAGAAGTTTTATTGATGCGTTATGAATTATGATATAAGAGCACGAAGCATCGGTGTCATAATATTTTTCACATATTATATTAATATATTTCAGTGGATTGGTCTCACGAGACGTTATTACATTTACAGCTCTGCGTGAGTCAACCAACTATAATTGAATAGTTAATAGTGTTAATACAAATATTCGCGAATGGATAGATAATAACTAATTGGTAGGGAGGAGTAAGGTAGTTATAATTATGATTTTGATTATTTTTTAGATTAAACATTTAATGAACGATAAGCTATTACCGTATAAAAATATAAAATATTTGATTTAAATTTGTTAAAATAATAATAATAATAGTTAATATGTACTTAAATCTAAATTATGAAAATAACTAATAAGTAATATAAAGGCTAAATTTTTGTATTATAAATGGCGTCAATTATTTACAATATCATTTTAACAACGTAGTCTGCTGTGTACCTACCTCGGTGTTTTTTTAAGGATCCGTGATCATCATACAATGTCGTCTTATCATAATTTATAAATTATAATAGAATAATATTGAAATGTAAACAACAAGAATTGTATTTCAACTTCCAAGAAATAAAAAATACAATACATTTATTAGGTGACAGCATAATGCATTGCGTGCGTTGATTATACAATTTTTAGTGTACATAGTACCTATTTAAGTTAATAACAATAATAACCATTATAATTATTGCTAAATTGGCCCAATAAATTTTCTGGATAGTCTTAGGGGTACCAATGATGATAATTCCTACATTACAGATAAAAGTGAAAGGAAATTAAAATTAATTTTAATTGTGGTATTATATCTTATGAATAATTTCTTCATATTTTATTTTGTTCAATTACCTTTTAAATTTAAATTTAAAAACTGTTGATGCTATATGTTTATGAGCATTTTGGTTCTTGATATATTTATAGGTATAAAATAATTAGATCTATATTTAACATTTACTTATTTATTTCAGTGTTTGTATACTCAAGAAAATACATTATATAATATCGAAGATGGCCAATTTACGCCACGTATGGAACCAAAGGTGGTAGGTACGTAGTTAAAATTTCAAGTATAAATCATATTTTTTTCTATGAAATTTTTTCAGTAAAATATTAACTACTTAAAAATTATGAAATATTATAAGTACCTTTTAGGTATGAAAAATATTTTAATACCCATGTTAATTCGACGTAACACAATACTACGTGGTAGTAGTATATGAATATAATATAAATGATCCATATACGAGCAGCAATGTCTTATAATAAAATATTAACTATTTTGATAAAAACGCTAGTTTGAAGTGCGAATCAGTTTAGCAATTTCTTTTAAATAAAAAAAAAAAAAACTGCAAAAGTTTTACATCCAATAAATATTTATTGTGTATAGAACATAATTATGAAATACAAAAGCTTAAAGATAACTTATACCATTGATTATACAATATACAATATACAATATTATAAAATTATAATATATTACAATATATATAATGTATATAATGTATATTATAATATACAATATTATATACAATATAATATTATATTCTATAATCAATGTTAATACTAAAATCTACAATTAATTTTAAAACTAGTAGGAATTCATAAAAATGTAGGATTACAGTCCAAAATAGGATTTTACAAATATCCGATGACATCGTATTAAGCTTAATCGACTTCTTCAACAGTAGGTCCTCCTCTTGCTCCAGCGAAACCATTAGCACCAGGAGGCATATTAGGTGCTCCGCCCTTTCCTGCGCCGTGTATCTTCAACATTAGAGTCGAGCAACTGTTTTGGATTTCTTTTAACTTGTCTTCGTACTCATCTTTGTCCGCTAACTGATTTCTATCCAACCAGTCGATGACTGCGTCGCATTCCTTCTTACCCGTACTTTTCTCAGATTCGGTCAACTTGTCACCAGCCTCGTCCAATGCTTGTTTCACACCAAACACATAGCTCTCTAACTGATTTCTGGCCGCGATTTTTTCCTTCTGTCGTTCGTCCTCTTCTTTATACCGTTCGGCCTCGCTGAGCATACGATCGATTTCAGCTTGAGAGAGACGTCCCTTGTCATTTTTGATAACGATGTTCTTAGAGCGCCCAGAACTATTATCTTTGGCCGAAACGTTCAAAATACCGTTGGCGTCCATGTCGAAAGTCACTTCGATTTTAGGTACTCCTCTGGGCGCTGGAGGTATACCTGTCAGGTCAAATGTTCCCAAAAGATTGTTGTCTTTTGTCAACGCTCTTTCTCCTTCGAACACCTGGATGGTGACGGCAGGTTGGTTGTCTGCGTACGTGGTGAAAGTTTGGGTTTGTTTGCACGGAATGGTGGAGTTGCGTTCAATGATTTTGGTCATAACGCCGCCTGCGGTCTCAATGCCTAATGACAACGGAGTGACGTCCACGAGTAACACATCTTGAATTGCAGAACTCGTGTCACCGCTAAGAATGGCCGCCTGCACAGCAGCACCGTAGGCTACTGCTTCGTCGGGGTTGATGGACAAGTTGAGTGGCTTACCACAGAAGAAATTTTGCAAGAGATTCTGGATCTTCGGGATTCTTGTCGATCCACCCACGAGCACCACATCCTGTATGTCTCCTTTATCTAACTTGGCATCCGCCAACGCTTTTTCCACCGGTTGTAGGGTCGACCGGAATAGATCGGCACATAGCTCCTCGAAACGAGCACGAGAAACTCGTGTGTAGAAATCGATACCATCTACTAAAGCGTCTATTTCCAAAGTAGCCTCCGAGCTAGACGACAATGTTCTCTTAGCCCGTTCGGCGGCCGTCCTCAACCGTCTTAACGCCTTCGGATTAGCGCGTACGTCTTTTTTGGTTTTCCTCTTGAACTCGTCGGCTAAATGATTCACCAGCCGGTTGTCAAAGTCTTCACCGCCCAAGTGTGTGTCGCCAGCCGTGGATTTAACTTCAAATATCGAACCTTCGTCGATCTGTAAAACTGAAACGTCGAAGGTGCCGCCACCCAAGTCGAATATCAAGACGTTTCTTTCTCCTTTCAGGTTTTTGTCTAAACCGTAGGCCAGGGCTGCGGCCGTCGGTTCGTTAATTATCCGCATTACGTTCAAACCGGCTATGGCGCCCGCGTCTTTAGTTGCTTGTCTCTGTGAATCGTTGAAGTAGGCCGGCACCGTAATGACAGCGTCCGTCACGTTACGGCCCAAGTACGCTTCCGCGATCTCCTTCATTTTCGACAACACCATCGAACTAATCTCTTCCGGAGCAAACACTTTACGCTCACCTTTAAATTCCACTTGGATCTTGGGCTTTCCGCCGTCGTTTATCACTTTGAATGGCCAATGCTTAATGTCCGTTTGTGTCTTATCATCATCATAACGACGGCCGATCAAACGTTTGGCATCGAACACCGTATTGACGGGATTCATCGCTACCTGGTTCTTGGCCCCATCACCGATCAATCGTTCAGTATCGGTAAACGCCACATAACTCGGGGTGGTCCTGTTACCTTGATCATTGGCGATGATTTCTACTTTTCCGTGTTGCCAGACACCCACACAGGAATAGGTGGTGCCCAGATCGATACCGATCGCTGTTTTTCCACTCATTTTGTCAATCGTCGATTTACACACTCACAATTAATACGAAACTGAAATGTGAATATATATACTTCAATACCATAAACCGATTTTGAAACTACTTAAAATCACTTTTACGGCAGAGTTAAATAAATGCGTATTCGTAAAATAAATAATAGGAACACTGAAAGTTGTAACGTTTAAAACAAGTCAATATCTTGTTAATATAACGTACATTATCGCTCTCAAATCAAAACTGGAGCCGACTAGCGCGCTGTTAGCATTTATATAATCCGATCGAACGATCGAGAAGGTTCGGGATGTTTCGCGATGCACTGTCGTCAGGCACGAACACTGCTGATCGTATTCCACCGTACAACAGCTACAAGCTACAACACTGCCACCTGTAGACTGTAACATACAATCATTTTTATTATTGCTATATTTAGTATATTTTAGTATATACGTGTATAATAGTGTTGTAGAAAATTCGCGAATTTTCTTCGTTTTTCTCGTTATTTCGTTATTTTCACTAGTAACATTAGTGGTACTATTACTACTTAACATTCTAGCTATTGTTTTGAAAATTGTATTCATTTTTTTTATTTTGACAAGACATAGCGTATTTTATAACTTAAAGAAAGAGTTTCAAAAATTCATAATTATTTATAAATCATAAGTCAATCAAAATCCCTTTTAAAAATAGGAGTGAACTTCCGATTATCATTATAAACACACTTGATAATATTTTGGAAATATGTATTTAACAAATAAACGAAAAATCTTAGTTACGGAGCAAAAATTTAAAACATTAGAAAGTATTAGTTTTAAAAAAAAAATATTTAAATTAATGTAAAATAAAATATTTTTTAGTTAAAAATAACGTATATCATTCAATGATTTCTAGAACAATATAGAGGCAAAGAAGAAAATTAGAGATCTAAAGAATTACAAGTATAAAACAAATAATTGTCGAATATAATTACATAAATAATAATCGTATTGATTTCAATGAATCTATCTCCTCAACTGTCACCAACTTCAATTTCGACAGTTTTTGGACGCTATCACCACCTCCACTGATGTCTATGTCTAATAAATATACCATCAACTTGCACTGAAGTAAGAGACGGCGGCTAGTACGTCTCGGGCGACTGACCTACCTGATAAAACTATGCCAACATATTTTAGAATACTAATAGTGGAAGAAATTCTGAAGTCTGTCGTTTTAAAACTACCCGGTCAAAGTCGTCAGAGAAAGGTTGGTAGTTTTCGACGAAATGATGTTAAATGACGACAAAATTACACTTTCGATACCTACTAATGATCGTATAACGATTTAAACGACCACTTTTATAAAATTAGTAGGTACTTAAATTAATTAAAATGAATATTGTTTATAAATTATTAATTATTACGATTGATTTAATTTAATTATAATTGTAAATACTTCACGGTTATCTATAAAATTTAGAACACTACACATCTATTTATATTATTGTTTAGTATATAATATTTTACCTGGAAACAAAAACCTGAATGTCATACCTGTGGAAGCTATGATCTTAAAAAATTGTATATGTATTTTTGTACAGAAACTTATACTAGAAATACAAACGCAAACCAAGGGCTATGGAAAGTATTTGTTCCATTAAAGTAAATTAAAATGATTCGGGTTGGCTAATTGTAACAACTATTTTGACTATGAATCCCTTAAAATTAGAAATTTTAAAAGTGTAATAAATAATCACTGAATATTAAAGTTGGAATTAAGAATTTTTTTTTTTAGTAAACTATATTTAAATAAATTAGGTAACTATATAACAATTTTAAACCTTTCCTAAATAGAACATTTAATATTTAAATCAAATTAGCATTATTCATTATACTTAACATGCTACTTACTAGTATTTATAATCAATGGTATAGACTATAGACTATAGATTATATTTTTTTTCCAAAAAATTGACTACTCATGTTATCAATTAAGGTACAATGAATGTAACGTTCCTTGTATAAGTATTGTATTAAGTCATTGTTTATACCATAGAAATTTTACTAAAACCATTATATATGCATATTAAGTGAAATAAAATTATTTATTTTATGTATATTTTAACTAAAACGGATTAAGTTTTTTTTAATTATTGCACCAATATCAATCAAGCATATAATTTGACTAAAAAACATACCTTTTGCCTTAGAATTTCTTGAATTACAACTCAACCATCAGGTAACATTTCATATTGATATTTTCACAATTTTCACTTATAATACAAGCAAAAAATGTAATAAATACATTTTTAAGAAATTTATTATTAATTTATAAAAAATTTACAGAATAAACATGTTAGAATATCTAGTGCATTATATTTTTAAAATTAATATAAAATACAATATATAGTCAAAACATATATTTTGTTTAGTTTAATAATTTTCTAATGTTTATAAAATTTGCATCTATTCAATCAAATAAATTGATTATACTGTCTACAATATCTTCAGGTTGAGAAGAAACTGTTTTCTTGATATCTATATTTTCATAATATGCACCACTGGTTCCACCAGGTTCCTTTCCTAATACTCTATTACTAGGAAGTACATTTGGTATATAAAATTGATCTTCTAAAAATGATACTACATCTGATGCTTTACGTAACTGATTGAAAGTATTTCTTGCAGTTTTAGTTAGCAAATTTTCACACATAAATACTAAATGATGATGAAACCACAAGAAATTAGTATGATTGATATTTAGCCAATCTTGAACAGCTGATAGAGGCGTATTTTGATAGCCAGCAAACAAGCCAGGGTTGTGTAATATACCTCTAGCACTCATCATTCCTAAAAAATTAAAAAATAAATACATATTAGTAATATAATAGTTAAATTATTAAAATTGAAATTATTTTATTACCTCTACAACCAGTATATTCTTGCATTGTAATAGCATCTGATAAACTTTTGATATCACCATTTAAAATTACTGGAACACTAACAGATTCATTTATAAGTTTCAAGCATTCTTGGTCAATAGCTTCATTTTTTTGAAAAACTGTTCGTCCATGAACTGTAATAAAAGACACTCCAGTAGCTTCAATTTGTTGACAAAGATCTACACTCTTTCTGAAAAGAGAAGAAAAGTAGTTATTAAAATAGTTTTATTTTACAAGTTTTATCATTAGTCATTATGATGATGATTTCAAAAAAAAAATAAAAAAATAATCTATATTTTATAAAACAACATAAATATGGCATATTATCTAGATTCTAGACATACTGTTTTTTATTTTAACTTTTATATCTTCTATAAGTATTAAAAAGATTGTTTTAAGAAACATTAATGTTTAACAAAAGTTATTAAAAGCAATTTATTATCCCTCTAATCCTTTTGGTAAGCATTATTGGAATATAAATGCACCAGAAATGTATATAAGACATAATAAACAAATTGTATAACATTAAATATATAATAGATATATTTAAGAGTTATGTAGGTGACTGTGAATAAGTTAATTTTTCCACTCTTACTATAAGGATAAGTAAAAAAAAAAATTTCACATAATTTTTATTACTAAAATAAAGATTTTTGTTTCATTATTTGTTATCTTATTAGATGTGAGAAATGAAACAAGCTATAGATAAATTATAATTTATAACCAATGTATTCATATATTGTATCTTGATGATAATTTACAGTGTACAGGTAAAAAAAAAAAGAAGAGCAATGAAAAATTTAAGTAAGAATAAAAATGGCAAAAGGTGACCTTTTTCATATTACACAGTATTGTCATATTTTTCTGATATATAATTATTGATGATACTGATATTTTATAAAATATTACTCTGAATGAAGTATTTTTTAAATTTATTGGGTTATATTTATTGTTAATTAATATACAATATCAATTATTAAATTATGTATTGTTTTAACTTAATTGAATTAATAATAAAAAATTAAAATAGTATATGATTAAAAAAAAATTATTTGTGTATAAAAGTTATAAATCAACATCATAATTTTTAAAATAAAATGAACACTAACATTTTAGTGATTTTAATTTTTAAAATGTTATATTTTATTTTTTTACAGTAGCATAATATTTAAAATGTTTACTAAAAGTATGGAAAAAAGTCAAAAAATATAATAACAGAAATTAGAAAATTTTGTCATTTTTTGAAAATGAATAATTTTTAATTTAAGTATTTTCTTTTATTTGTCTATTCATTATAATCATATAATCTAAATACTTATATAATATAGGTATTTTATGCATGAATCTATAAAGGTTAATCACTACCCATAATTTATTTAAATGAACATGTGGTTTTACATTATGCTTTTTATTTATCTTTAATTATAGTAAAATAAATTTACAAGGGATTTCATATTAAATTTATAGCCTTAGGCATTAAAACTTAACATTATATAAATGTTGTCATTAAAAATGAATTTGAATATTTCACTATGTTAACTTTAGATTCTATGAACAATTTTTTTCATTTATTTATCACAAAAAGCATAATTAGTTATTGAGTATTCAAAAGGTAAACGACATTTTACATTTTTAAATCCAAATTTTGATAAGTGAATGTTTAATCAAGTGATGGTTTAAAATCACAGGCTTTAATAATTAAAGTATGATTTAAATATAATCTATAATATAATTAATTATTTTTATATCGAATTATTTGTTTTAATACCTGCCTATGATTATCAAGTAATCTTAATTTAACTGATATAGTCTTGTTAGCAGGTAAGTGATTGCGTAATTGACGTACACAATCTTTGATAATTTCTGGATTTTTCAGCAACTGTGCTCCATATCCATCATTTAGAGCCCATCTTTGTGGACAGCCACAATTCAAATCAACTCCATCGCAATATCTAAATAAAATGAAAATATTTAATTTAATTCAAAGAAAAATGTATAAATAAGACTTACGGAATGATCAAATTAGAAGCATTTACAAAATCAGATGAATTATTGGCACCAAATTGTACAATAAGTGGTCTATCGTCTATAAAATAAACAAAAAATAAATATTTTTATAAATTATTATTTAATTTGAATTTGATAAAGATATTTAAATAAACCTGTATCAGTTTGGAATTCATGTGCCCTAGCCTTTGCTGACTTAACATAAGAATCTGCCATTATCATTGGTGTGAAACATAAATCACATTCATACATACGAATCAACTTCCGAAATTGTAGTCTAAAAATATGTGAAACATTTAAATCTTTATAACTTAATATTAATTTTAAAAATTCATTAACATAAAACTATTTAAGCTTAAAAATTATAACACAGTATTTTAAACAAACTTCCATGTATACTTACTTGCTATAACGGACCATTGGTGCACATACTTTAATAAACTTTTTACTTGGATCGTCAAATAAATTAATAACTGGATTATTAGACATGCTTGAAATAATATTTTTAATGGTTTTTGGTGCTAAATTGTAATATATTAAACGAAATGTCAAATGAACATTAAACTTTAACATGCAGGTAAATGGAAGATTATAGGTAGATGTTACAATTTATATTATTTATTATAACTTTACAAGTAACAAGCAACCACAACAGGAATGTTTATGAATTCTTATCAATTTTTACTTTTACTTATCAAATGTTTTGCTAATTGTTTACTGATACGGTATACATTGGCACTCGGAGGTGAGGGCAAAACGGGATATTTATCTCCTCCTAGAATTCAAACATAATGTTGAACATTTTAAGTTTTAACCTTTATTTCGATTTAAATAAACATTTCATTGATATTTTTACTTTAATATGTAGGAGTGGTCAATACAAAAATTATTGGAAAAATGAAAAGATAAAATTAATTAATTATATGCTTGTTTGTCGTAATAACAATTAACAATATATTTTAAGGCGTACAACAACGCATAAATTATTTATCAACGCGCTGTTTACGATGAAACACGAACCATGCTAAATTACGTACGTACTCGTATTGTAATTAGAATATTTAATATTTTGTTTTATTGTTACCTATACTATTATGGACATCAGAATTTTTTTTTAAAAACTCAAGCTTTGTGATTTTTTTTAATGAAGTCTCTACTGGCTCTACTTCAACTATTGAAATAAATAATACAGTTAATACAGAGCAGTCGGAATTGTTGAAGTTGAAAGTTATTTAATAACGACTAAATAGTATATAATTCTGATATATTTTGTAGTTTACAAGGAATAAACTTTTTTCAATGTATTTTTTGGTCTTTGATTTCATATGCCCCTCCTTGATACATTTCCTGTGAGTGCCCATGATGGCATACGAAGTTAGTTTAATAGTTTATCTTTCGTTGTCAAAATTATTTTTAGAAAACTATTCGCAGCTCTTGGTTCCTTCGCTAAACTCACTTAATAATTAATATTACTATATTCATTCATGGCCGTTGCAAAATGTAGGTATTTAATTTAAAATTTTTATACATTTAATTATATCTTAATTCATAGTCTATCTATGATTATTTTAGGACAGAATAGATAAATTTAACATATTCATTACATTATTACCGCTCAAAAATAATCACTCCTTATTAAGAATGATTTAGGTACCTATGTTATATATTATACGTATATTTAACTAATTAATTAAGTACCTACAACATGATGTAAAGAAGGTTAAATTACAAGTAAATAGGTAGGTATGACATCATTATTATAGGTTATAAAATTTTACTTTTTCGAAGTATTTATCATGAAGTTCCATTATTCATCATATATTTTAACATCAACTCCAATTTATGTAATCATTAATAAATAATACGACACACAATACCATGATTTTATAAGCCCAATTAGAAATTACATTACTCTAATATTTTATTACCAAGTATTTCCTTTTTCCCATGGCTAGAAAAATAAAAATGTTAATAACCATAACTTCAATTTATACCACGGTTAAATCTATAAAAAAAAAAATTGTCGATTAAGTAATAGCAATTAACCACATTTAACCAAAAACTTGGTATTGTAACTAACCTGGTTTTTACTTATTTAGATCAGACTACCAGAGTCTGGTTTTTGGCGTTTTTGCTAACTCACTTTTTTATCGGTTTATAACATTATTCATTTCGCGAAGAAAACGATCGTTTCATGCTCGAACATAATATCTGTAATTGTAATTTATTACTTAATAAAGAAAAATTAAACTATTAATTTTTTTGCAAATTAGTGGGTTTTGATCCGTGGTAAGTTAAAAGAACATTCCAAAACTAAACATTATATTATATTGGTACATAAATAACAAAATTATATATAGGTGAGATACCATATAGCATATAATATATGATATATTTTACTAATTGGTTGCTGTTTATTTTATCATTACTTTATACTTAATAATAATATAGTCTGGCCGTCTGGGTATAGAACATTGCAGATGTTATTGTAATGCAATAATATTATAAAATACAAAAATTGCCTTGGTGTCGGCGTTATATTGCTTATATTATTTAAACAAACAATATTGATAATATAAATAAATAAAATGATTTTTAAATTTGCTATTAGGTAAATATAGTTTGTAGGTAATAAGATATTTACCACTTTACGACCCATCTGGTCGTTATGGTAAAACATTTTAAAATTACACTTAAAGAGGTTCAAACAGACCGTTTTTCATACTAGAATTATTTTTATCTTAACGTACCGAATACTGGTATAATTATGCGATATGAATTTAGAAAAAAGTTTGAATTCCTCGTATTGTCTTGTTTAGATCCTACCTTTTAAAATTTCACTTATTAAAATATGACTAACAATTTGGGAATGTTCCTCTGTTGTATAGAAGATATCGAGTTTATCTTGTTATTGAGTAGGTCACTATAAAAACTTAGACTTGAATTGAATTATTAATCATTACATATGAAATAAAATTCTGTGTAGAAATGGCCAGTTAAATCGAAGAACTATTTTTTGCTTAAAACTAATCGCATATATTATATAATTACTAACACAATTATTCTTGTGATTTTAATAAAAACCTGAAAAATTCGGATTTAAACGCTTACCTTTTTAAACAATTGTGATTACATAATATGTAACATAGGCACCAGCTTTTTAAAATTCATTGTGTAGGTACTCTTACCAATGTGAGGTATTCGTGAAGATCTGTTACCTGTGGCTTTTATTACAATACTTTTACAACCCGTCTGAGATCGAAAGTAATGTGTTAGATTTGGTGTCATTTGGTAAAAAACTGTAGATTCGGATATGTATGATAATATGAATTAGATATGACTCGTCTATATCTACATTAGCCGATTATCTATATTATTATCAATCTAATTTATTTATTATTTCTGTTTTATTAAAGTTGAAATATTCTCAATTGTTTTTGTCAAAATTGGTCGAGTATTTTTTTATATCTATATAAATTTCAACCACCACACTCTAACTCTTTTGTTGTATAATAGCTATTACTCAATTTTATACTTAAGCAGAACAGTTATTAGTCTAAATAATACTATATTCAGTCATAATAACTATTTTATTATTTGTAAATTATGATTACCCTATTATTTATAAACAAAAAAGTATTCGATTTTCTTGAGCTGAAACAAAATTCATGTGTGAGCTGACAATTACCCGTTTCTACTAATATATCTGTTATAGTAAAATTATAATACTTATATACTTTCATATTTTAAGAGAAAATTTTATCTCTTCATTTATATAAGTGTCTAATTAATAATAATTATTATTATTTTGCTATTATGCCTTATTTTTCGTTTTAATTTGTTAATAAAAATCTAATTATTTCTAAGGTATATTAAAATATTAAAATTATAACCTTATCTTCAGGAAATGAAACTTTATCTTAACGTTTTTTATTATATGATAATATACTTGGTATTTTTTATTTATGAATTATTCAACGTTGAACTCTCATAATAAGTGTCTTACGTTAAATAGGTAGATTACCTATTAATATTAGATTAATATTTTGTGATCGATAAGAATTTTATGATATACAAAATGTTCTTATCTCTACTGTAGTTTCAATATTATCAATTCTTATGACTTGCGAAAATTAAATATTAAGTTATATAATATATGTGTGGATTATTAAGGGATATATATAATATATGATATTTATAAAATAGGAATTCAATATCTTGAGAAAAATTAGATTTTTTTTAATTCCAAAATACAGCAGAATGATGATAGTTCTTATAAATTATACATTTATGTAAATGGAAATACATAATTTTCTCTAAAAATATGAAAATATAATAAGTATTATAATTTTACCGTAGAACGTATATTGGCGAAACGGTGATTGCCATATGAGCCACTTTATAGCGAGTTAAAATATATAGCTACAAACTCTCCTAGAGTCTTCGGGAATCTATTGATATAACTTTTATTGAAAGTAGATGGTTCAATAAATTTTGAACTTATTGCGGACAAAGAAAGAAAGATTATTTATAAAAATATATAGAGATATAAGTTTATATTAAACTACAATACTTCACAATTATTAAAGTTTATTTTAAGGTACACGAAACATAAAAATTTTATTCTGTGCACCCACTATTAAAATACATGTAAAATTTATTTAATTTTCTAAAACAATGTTAAAAGTTATATAATTACATTAATATATTCTGTTACTATTAATTATTTATACTTTAGATTATTGGTTTTCTAACTTTTAACGGCACTACACAAATATTTTTACGATTTCTTTTTTAGTCATTATTTAATTTTTTTTATTTTAAAACGCGAAATTAGATAATTAAAATTTATTATCATTTATTTTTGAATACTACCAAAATTCTTGAGACATTTTTTTCTTTTGATCTTAATTTAATTTTTCAAAAAAATATGGCTATTTCTTTTTTGAAAAACATTTCTCTGGACTATAAATAAAATGTATAAATATTTCATATTTAGTCATTTATACTGATACCTACATAATTAATACTAATTTTGAGCTATAGGTCAAGTTTATTAAAAAAATGTTTGGTCTATTGTTGCATATTTCAATGTTGTCAATTTAAGTAACACATAATTAATATTTTATAAGTTATGTATTATGTTTGAGGTATGACAATATTTTAAACAAATTGTAATTTATACATTAAAAGAGATGGAGTATGAAAAGAGAAAACAAAAATATCTTGATAAATTGAAAAAAACATCATCTAAAGGATTATACAAATCTACAGGAGTCTTAGTGAGTTTATTTTAAAATCATAAAATGGAATCATGTAAATTTTCTGGGAAATTGTTAGTGATATCTATTGGTTATTGACTACCTATTAATTTTTATTTTATCTCATTTTAAATCTCTAATATTATTATTTATTAATAATAAATTGTAATTGATAAATGTAATAGGATATTCAAAATGATAATTCATTATGTTTTAATGAAAGTAATCAAAAATACATAGAACCAAAATGCGAACCTAATGATTTGTTGGTAAGTTTTAATATGATATTGTTTTAAAATATTTTAAATTTAATTTACGATTTAGGCTAAAGTTGAATGTTACATCAGAGCAAATCCATCGTCTCATATTACTAAGAATCGTTTAACTGTAAGATTTTTATAATTTATATTTTACAATAACAATTAAAAATATCAACTTAAAAAATTGATTCATTTTAGGTCAAGAGAGGTTTGGACTACCATAGTTTCGTATCGAATATTCAAAATAGTGATTAAATATTTAATTTTAATTGGATATGAATCTAGATTGGTATGATTAATAATTATTGTTTTTTACTTTTAAATAATTTAGATATTGAACATAAGTCATGTGATGTACAAGATTTAGAAAATGTGATTTCTTTCATAAAACCAAAGCGGAAACGAATGAACTACAAGCCAGATACTAAAATAAAATTTGGTCCACCAGATGCTACTTCTACAGTAAAACATAAACAAGCACAATCTAATTTAATGTAATATAATATAAAAAATATAGTTAAAACTTAATAATATTAGTTATTATACTAATTGATATTTTAAGTTCTCAAAAACAAAGTCTGAAGCCAACTGCTGTTACTAAAAATTTAAAATTTAATATGAGTGAAAAAATTCATCATAGTGAATGTTTTGGGTAGGCTACGTATATTAATATTAAAATTATAATTTGAATAACTATATAATTTATATAAATAATAATAATGATAATGTTTCTACTTAATTTACGCTAAAAGTTTGTCAGTATCGACTTCATCAAAGATTATTAGAAATAATATGAAAGGAACTACAAATACACTTATGGATCCAGGGATAAATAAAAACCAATGCATCAGTATAGAAGAGAAAGCTAGATTAAATTTAACTTATTGTTTATATTTGGAGTTTGTTCATACGCATTGTGATGAAATTATAAGTATAAGCAAGAATCTTTACTCTAATTTTGGTTTGTATAAATTGCTGTTATTAAGTAATATTAATTTTTAAGTTCGTATTGTGTTTAATTTTAGATTACAGCGTTAATTTAAAAAAAAAACTTCAACAAGTTCAGTTAAAACAGTAAGTTTTTTAATTTCATATAATTACATTTTATTAAAATAGATTAAAAAAAATTAAAAACTATTATATATGATGTTTGTTATTGTCCAATATTTATGTATTTTTAGCCAGAATCGACAGAACATAAAAAATACAAAACTGGTGGATTGTACAAACCGGGTTAATAATGATTTTAATAATAAGTCATCGATTTCTAGTGGTAGTGATTTCATTTTTAAACCAGTTGTTAACTTATTTAAAAGCCCAGGTAATAAAAAAAAATATATTTAATGTTAATTATCGGCGCATACTAGTTGCCTCCCAAAATATACGAATTGCCTCCCATCTTTATCGTAAATAAATAGGTTAATTTACACTAGTTGCCTCCGATGACCAGGTAGTTCATAATTATATACGAGTTGCCTCCCATATAGAATTAAGTAGTGGTTCATAAATTTCACTAAACAGTTCCACATAAATAGGTAATGTTTATTCATTATTACAAATATCAGAGTTGGTTAAAAACAATAATAATATAAAAATAATCAATAAAAATAAAACATATTATACTACTTATTAAAATATATAGTGCAGTTAAAAACATCAGTCTTAGGTATAATAATGTGTAGAATAATGTTATAATAGTATTTTTAGACAAACATTTGCTGTCTAGGATACGACATTTATAAAAAAAAATTACACAACTATAAAAATAAAGTCAAACAAAATAGGAAGTAAAACCTTATTATTAGTCAATAAAATAAATGTATGGTAATAATAATATAATATACATATAATAGTAAAAATTATTTATAACATTGCTTAGGCTTGTATTTTTTAGCCAGTATTTATAGGTACTCAAAATTTGACTTTTTTTTCACTCAGCTTTTTTATTTGGGTATCAATGAAAGTTATTTTGTTTCTAATTTGTAATCGTCCATGTAGTTAAGGCTTATTAGAACTTTATATTAAAATTAAAGTCTTAGTCTGAATTAATTTTAAAACTTCGATAAATTTGTTTATATAAGGATGAGAAGACTAATATACGAATATACATACGAATAATAATAATTAATAATTCTTTTATTATTAATGAATAACCTAATTTTTTTTTTTAAGTACATTTTTTAATGTAATTCTTAGTTTTGTTAGTCATTATGATTAAAGGAGTTTTACTGTATATTATGATAATGTAAATCATTCAGCATACTTTAGTATTAATTATTGAATATTAACAAATAACAAAGTTCACGAAAGAAGTATTATAAATTATATTATCTATTATATATTATAGACTCATGCATCTCAAAATTATCTCAAGATAGTTTTGTTTGTTCATCACAAGAAATATTATTTACTAGTTCAGACGATTCTATGAATATTAACGAAGTTAAGCTAGAGTCAAATAATGAATATTTTTCTTCTCCAGAAATCTGTTTAAATAAAAATATGAAAAATACGTGTCAAATAAAAATAACCGATTGTCAATCAAGAACTTCATGTCATACGTCTTTGGAAAAACGCACTCAAGTATGTACAAATTATTATTATGAATAAGGAAATAAATATATTATTCGGTCTATTAATATTTGATTATATTAGTATTTTTATTAAATACCTGGTGATTAAGTATCACATTTTTAAAATTGTGATACATAATATAGGTAATAGATATATCCATATAGATATAGTTGAAACTTGAAATATTAAGTAGCATGTGAGTTTCGTAATCTTGCAATCCACCACAATATAGTGCTAAATATCATTCTTCATAATATGATATGGAACAATTTGTAAATTTATATAAATATATTTAAATTTTATGATTATCATTTATCATAAAATTTATAATTTAAATAAATTGAAATGTTATTGAAAAATATTTTTGTAATAAAAAATATCAATAATTTTTTGTTGAATATTTCATTTTTTAAATTTTACAATAAATGTATTCCATATATTCTATGATAAAAATGATAAATACTAAAATATGTATAACTTAAATTTATTATTTTGTGTGTTTCAGAAGTCAAATGATATTCAAAAGTCAAGTTTGATTAGCTCAGATTGCTCAGAAGATAGTTTTAAATATTACAGAAAAAAAATGTTTTAAAAATATGAAGTATGATAGGTATTAATTTATGTGTTTAATAGAGAAATATTTATAATTTCATATAGGCTTTTACTTTTTGTTCGTTTTTATTATTATTTATTAATATTATATAAAATATTGACTTAAATAATTGACTTTTAATGTTATTTTTGTCTACCACTGATTTTCCAGTGTGCGTGCGCAATAAAGTTGATAAAGATTTCTTGATTTCAAATATGGATGTAAACATATTCTATACGTTCATGAGAAGGTTTGAACGTATTTTTGACATTCTAATTTCAACTGTCGTAGTAGTCGTTTATAAATATGTTTAGTGTGTTCACTATGTTAAGATTTAATTTCATGCTTATTTTTACTGTATACTTGTATTTGAACATACTTATAGGTTAGTAAATACATTGTATAAATTATTATAGAGTAATTTAAGTTTTCAAATTATTAATTATTATTATGACTAAATACATTCTGTCTTCAATTTGATTAAAAATTATAACTTTAAATCGATACTAAAAAACAAAACATCAAATAAATTATCAAATATCATGAAAAAGTATTTAAGTTTCTTATATTTTTTTTATTTACTTATTAGTTAATAATTTCCACGTAAGAGCAATAAAAAATAAAAAGTAACAATATTTTATAGTGTTTTGATGTTGTTATTCAAAATAATGATATTAATCCTTGACTTTTATATTTTTAAACATTATGTTTTATTCTAAATTGTAATTATTTTTATAATATTTTCCAGAAAATGTTATGAAATTTATTTTATTAATTTATTTTTACCACAATAATTTAAATAATTACATTACAGTAAAAATATTTTTTAAAAGAATTAAAACTTAAAAGATTGAATAATATAATTTTTTTGATTGATATAATTATACCTACTCGAATTTTATTATTTGAATTTATTTTTAATTTAAAACGATACATCAGTAAAATATATTTTTCTTCGTCTTACATGGTTGTCATATTTTTAAAACTTCTCTCTGTATTTCACTAACTGCGGGAAATAAATAATAATTTCTATAATTAAGATATTGTCCCAAACCTATGTCTTATTAGACAACAATAATAAATTATAAGATTATTATTTGTATTGAGTCAAAAGCTTTTTTTTTGATATTTTAAATTTTAAGAGAATCAATAATAATGGTAAATAATTAGTAAATTAAATACCTAATTTTAAAAATAGATTTTGACAAGACGGATAATGTTATTTTTCATGATTATTATGCTAGGATAATTTAAATTAAGTAATAACTAGGACGAGGATTTTTAAGTAAATATATAATTTTATTCAATGCAGATTTCTTAATTTGATTAATAACGAGCACGTTTTAATACCCTTAATAGAATAAAATGTATTTATTTTTGCATATTTAGCATATTTTTAAGTAAAATATTTTATCAATAATTAAATAATATTGCAATGAATATTTCATATTTTTATACTTAATTATTCATGAACAATGAACATATTGATAATAATAATAATTTCGTAGGGAATGTTCGACTTATTGAAAATCTTAATAAAAAACGTAATAAATAAAATTAGTATTGATTTTATGATATCACCATATCGTTTATACAATTTAGTTTAATTATTTCTCTGTATTGACTATATACTTGCATCTTCGTTCGGTCGTTTGTTTTTCAATTCAACATTTTTTTTCTTTTTACTAAATTAAAGTTTTAATAATTAACGTTAAATAAAAATTTTTTACTAAACATTTAGAATTTTTAATATAAATGTTGACGAAAAAATATATTATTTAAAAATTCGCGTTTTAGTGATCTTAATTTATAATGAGTAAAATACTTAGAAAGGTTCTTATATAGGTACTATATAGCAGGCCTTTACAAAAAAAATGTAGGGTTCTTGAGTTAAATATTTTTTTGAGTCTTACACAAAACAATTGTGAATAAAATTCATCATAAATTATTTAAAGTGAAGAATAGTATGAATTTTCAATAAATGTTATTTTTATTAATTTATTTTTCATCATGATATTATTTAAATGAAAAAAAAGTATATTTTAATTTGAATATATTGAGAAATTTTATTTTTTTTTAAGTTAAAATTTTATTTTTTGAAGTTTAAGCACAATTAACTCAGAAATGACATAATCGAAAATTATTGTTGAACCCAATGCATTATTTTTGTATAAAATAGTAATTTAATTTAATTGTTCTTGACTTGTTAATTTTTACTAACTTTTCCAATTTACTGAAAGACTTTCTGCTTCTGATACAATCACTGAAATAGTACAAAATATTCGGAGACTAATAAAAACCATTTACGAAAATTGTTTGCACATTTTTTTTTTTAATAGTTTGAGTGATGGGCGTTACAATAATTTTTTGAATTGTTGAAGAATATAATATAGTTTTTAGATGAATCTGATTTGTATTTTTGTAAAGTAATTCTGTTTTTAATTCCAATTTTTTACGGACCAGTGGCCAGTGATAAAAAGTTTAATAATAGCTCAAGAATATTACAATCATTTTTGTGCCCTTGAAATTATTAATATAAATTTGATGAAATTATAATAAGTAAATTACGTTAATCACATCATTTCTAAAAAATATGACTTCGGTTCTAATACCTACTTTCAAAGAGGACGATAATTGAGTTTTTGAAGTTTCATCGAAAAATATTTTTTGTTTTTATTCGTCTTGTATTATTTGCATTTTTTAATTACTTCATATCTTTGTATAATTTTTATAATTTATAAAATGAATAAATATTTCATTAATGTTGAATAATTTAGTTTTTAAAATGTTTAATACAAAAGTATACCTATCAATATTTAAAAATTACAAATTTATTTCAATATACCTTTAAAATAGCTGGGTCCCTGTACTCCAGGTCTAACCGGCCTCCCCCTTGTGGAGGCCTTGATAGTATATTCTTTATTTTCATATTATGTGTGTAACTCATCTGAGACTATAGACATATACATTATATTATGAATCTATTATACTTATGCAGGGGTGGACTGGGCCGACGGGTGGGTGGGTGATCGCCCCCTGGGATGTTAGAATTTTCGGCCTTACGATAATAATTGTACATTTTAATTGACAGTTAAGGACACAAAACAATTTTTTAAATTGATGATGATTGAATAATTGGAAGAGAGGAGCGTCACTAATTCTATCTGTTTAAGCTATTACTATTAAAAAATGTATGCTGATGTAATGTTATTGGTGTAATACCTGAGCAGCTGGGCCTTTATCTATGATTGCCCGGGCCGATTTTTTACGTCAGTCTGCCCCTGTACTTATATCTATGTGGGAGATGGTAAACTGCGGCAAAATTTACCTTTTTCTAAAAGTCGATATATAAACTGCGGCAAAAAAATAATTAAGATTATACAATCTGCGACAAAAGCGATAAGATACATCATACAAACTGCGGAAATTTATTTTATATACTTATACACGTTTATTGTTTAATTAGGTATAATACGTATTACGTGTTATGACAGCTATTAGTATCTCTTAGAGTATTAAGTGTAAAAATAAAGAAAAACCAATTTTTAAAATTGAAAAATATATTATTATTAAAAATTAGATCGTAATGATTGTATAATCAAAAAACCAATTTTAAAATTAAAAAATATTATTATTATATTAAAAATTATTTAAAAAATCATATAATCAAAAAAAAAAAAAAAAAAAAATAAATAAATAATAATACAATAGGTATCTAATTAAATTGCCGTAGTTTGTATGATGTATCTTATTGGTTTTGTGGCAGATTATATAATCTTAATTTTTTTTTTTTTGCTGCAGTTTACATATAGACTTTTTGAAAAAGGTAAATTTTGCCGCAGTTTACATATAGCCATCTATGTAAGATAGGTATCAAATTTTTATTCTATCTTCCTTATTGTAGCTTTGAGTGTAATACTTTAATTTTTTTTAAATTATTTAAATTATTATTATTTTTACTGAATTTAATAAATGTTTAAGTTTGTTGAGTTCCTAATGTTTTAGTAAATTTAAATTCAGAGAGTATCGTTTTTCTGAAAACTGGACTATCACGTTACATTGTATGTTTCTTTTTGTGTTTTTTTTTTAGTATTTGAATGTGAATCTGCACCATCTAAGCATCAATGTGGTCATAAATTATCAGTTTTAAATGGTTATGCGAAATTTATAATATTAGATGGTGTAACCATAGCTAAAATAACTTGTCATCAGCCGTACGTTCTGTTATTTGGCAACGAAACAATTACCTGTATCGAAGGAAAGTGGGATGACGATTTTCCGATATGTGCTAGTAAGTTCTGTATATTTATTATTTATTATTAACGCATTATACAACTATAAATCGTGTACAGCCTTATGTTGCTTATATTATACTCGTAAAATATCAAAATGGTTTTATTCAATTGACTTTCAATTTTCGTATAAACCAATTATAAGGTAATATTATGCAGTCATATAGAGCTGTGTGTATTTTGAATTTTTGTGACAACTTATTTAATATTTAAGGAATGATTTATTTTACTTTAACATTCCTTAAACTGCTGGTTTACTCCAAAGTTTCATAATTTATGATTATGTGTCTAGTTAAAAATACTTAAAGCTGTTCCGACTATAGGAAAGTGTAAATTACAAATTGTTATTGCTTTACAATTAAATTTTTCATTAGGTAATAGAATCATAAAGAAATTTATGATGATACGTAGGTATTCAAGAATAATAAATATTAGAAAAAATTAAGATTTCTTTTGCCCCCTTCCAAAAAAAAAAATAAAAATCTGGCTACGGTACTAGTGTCTATAATAATTTGTACATTATACATACTATTTTAAATTAGATTACGTTTCAGTTAACCCTTTAAAAATTGCATCGAATTAAATATATTTCGATTTGAACGACATATCAAATAGGTTGCGTAGAAAAATAAGTTCTACAATGGAGATGATATTATGTTTGTATTGAATATACATGCATGGCATAGAATATATCAACGAACACAATACTTAACTGTCATTAATCATTATTTTTAATAGATGCAAATGATGCAATATATTTTTGATATCTTGATTATTTGAAATTTGAATACTAAAATAAATTAAATATTTTTAATCTAAGTAAAAAATGACAAACGATGATTATGAATGTTTATCTAGATCGTTAATATGTTTATATATTTATCGTTTAGTTTAAAAATTGCTTATATAATAAAGTTTACTATGTATTCAGTGATAATACTTTATAATAATTAAGATCAATATAGAAATGATGTATAATTATTAATCATAAATATTTGTGCTTATAATGATGAAGAATTAGATATTTGTTTTATATTTTCGTACTATTTGTACGGATTATTTAACTTTTGTAATTAAATAAATATATACTTTGGTCATATACTCTGCAAAAGTTGTAAAGCTATCTATTGAATATAGGTATTGATGATATTATTAATTGAACGTTGGATGGTAAGAGCTGGTTTTGTATATTATAATTATTTATAGTCATGTACATTTTAAAACAATAATAAAATGAATTCACTCTGTTATATAATAGAGTGAGATTGTCATTGTAATAGATATTATGTTAATTTTGAATTCAATGGTAAAGCATTGTTTATGAAAAATGATTCTAAATAAAGATTATGTGTCAGCTTCTATTTCAAAGAATATTTTATAACATTGAATTTATATCACTATTAGTTAATCGTTATTTTTCTATTAGTATTATACATTCAGTTAAACTTTGAACTAATTTTTACCAGAAAAATTTCATAGTTGTAGGTATATTATATTATTATAATATTAAATTATATTATATCATTAACTTATAAGTCGATGCTAACGTGTCGTAAAATAGATAGGTTCACAGTTTAAACATCTTAGTGATATGTATCTAAATATTTTGAAAGTGTACCCTATAATATGTACTTTCAATATATTTTAGTCAGTATAAGAACATTTTTTCTATGATGAACCTTGTATTAATTTTCAAGCTTTTTAACTAGAAAAACACATTTTTATCATCACAAATATAAATATAAAAAGTTGATAAGAAGGTAACCGCTGTTCTGTAAAATAAGTGTCGACCAAACATTGTCATTAAGAAATATATCACTCTAATACACAGTGTAAAATTTGAGTTCAATGATAAATTATCGAATGTGAAAAATCGTTTTGAATGGTGATCATCTGTTAGGCCATATAACTTAGTATATTTTATTACGTATTTATATTTTTATATGCAATTTATTTTATTATTCTAATAATACAGTAAGTTGAATTAATTTTTGATGAAAGCATAGAATTTATTGTAATATAAATTATTATTATTTATAAGTTTCAAACGAATAATATTTTCAAATTACAATAAAATATTTTAAATTGTTATTCTATATTTAAATATTTAATTTCAATCAAAATTTGATCTTCGAATATGGTTCAAAGATTTTTGAGTTTTAGCAATAGTTATTTCTGAGGAACTTCGTATTAAATTTTTAAGTTATTTACTATGAATTACCTTTATGGATGATGGGCGCTTTTATTTTTTGTAATTAATTTTAATATTGAAATTTATAGTTGAAACAATTTAAATTTTAAATATTGTATCTTCTAAAATATATTTTTGATTTTTTAATTTGTAAGCCATTTTAAAAATTAATAATAAGTACCAATAACGCATAATATTTCATGTGTGGTCGGTCTTAATATATAAATATTTTTTTATAGAAATTGATCCAATAAATGTATCTTGTGATTTTGAATCACCAGTAGATAGGTTTTGTAGATGGACAAATTATATGTCTAACGAAGTCGATTGGTTAATTGATGAAATGTCCGTTCAATCTAATAGTAATGGACGTCATGTAACAAATGGTTCTTCTCAATATTTTACTAGTAAGTAATAATACTGTTGAATTTTAAAAGATTAAATGTTTTTGGATCTTATATGCATTGTGGTATTTTGCTCTTTACGAGTCAGAAATATGAGACTAATATTTATAACGTACCTATTACAATATACCCTATTTAAAATCTATAAATAACATTTTTTTTCGATTTCAAAGTATTCACGAATATTAAATTTTAAAATTAAAAATCGATTTAAATTTATTTTTATGTAGGATAACATGTAATTTATACATATTTAAGAACATAAAAAAATATTGCAAATATTTGTACAAATTATTAAATGAAAATGTTTCATAATTTATAACATATTAAAATATTTTGTATCATTTTTAATGTTTATTTTATTGCTACAGTAGTTGAATTTTGATTTAAAATATATATATATATAATTGATTAGTAATAATCTCAAATTGAATATGTTAATAAACACTGAATATAAAACTAAAAACCTTCCTTAAAATAATCTTAATCCTTAAATTAAAATGGTTTCAATAATAATTAAAAACGACGTATAGTCACATTGTTTGCAAAATTAAATTTAGAAATTTAGCACGTTGTGGTTTATTATTTTAACTGCAATACTTCATAAGAGCTTTTTTTTTTAAATCAGATCATTATTTATCCTTGAATGCGGGAAATTATGGATCCACTTCTGTCGGGCGATTGTTATCTCCACCACTTGTTCCAGTTGCAAATAAACAAAGCTGTTTACAATTTTCGTACAAAGTTACGTCAGGTGATTCACAAAATCGCCCGACCCTGAAAGTAATTTTTGGTGGAATACCTCATTGGGAAACTCACGAAGGAGAAGGACGAGTTACAATTGGGTTATATCGGTTTAGCGCTCGTAATAACGTGAGCATATTTAAATTTTGTTTTTAAAAACGTATGTTTTATTAAATTTCTCTTATTTTGTAGATCGTAATTGAAGGAAGTAATTGTAGAGCAGCTATTGATAATTTGATAGTTACAGAAGATGATAGATGTACACAACGACCGTACAATGAAGGTAAATAAACATAAATATAATCTATGTTTATTTTGTATAAAATTTAAATTTGAATTCACTACGCATAAAAATATCATAACGTGATATATTTGTCTGTTTACAGAGATTGATAGTTGTCATGACAACTGTGGAATAATATCAAACGGTGCTGGTTGTTCTTGTGATTGGTCATGTTATAAAAATAATAATTGCTGTTCAGATATACAAAGCAGATGTCCATATAGTGAGTATTTAATTTAATTGGTGTTCTTATTATAATATATTTATAATTTATATAAATACAATTAATTAATTGACAGTCAAATCAATGGACGATATTTTTAAATTATATATATATACTAAAACCACTGACACGTCGAAAACAGTGACGACTACACCAAAAAATGACGTTTTAAATTTATCCTGTGATTTCGAATCGTCAGATGAGACATTTTGTGGTTGGAAAAACGATATTTTTAATAACACTGATTGGCTGGCTGACAAAATATCATTCGTTTTTAACAGTCGTCACGTAATTCCTGGATCTCTTAAATATTTTACAAGTAAATAAGAATATATAATTTATTTGAGATAAAATTAAAATTAATTTTTTCTTTGTAGATAACTATATATCTTTGGATGCTGGAAATGATGAATTCACTAACACCGGACGATTGATATCTCCACCAGTTCTACCAGTTGGAAATGATCAAAAATGTTTGATATTTTCTTATAGAGTAACGTCGGGAAATTCAACTGGTTCTCCAATTTTAAAAATCTCTTTTGGTGGCATACCTCATTGGGAAACTCACGAAGGACAAGGAAGAGCTATAATTGGGCTATATCAATTTAATACTACTTCTAGAGTGAATAGATTCAGTTTTTGTTCTTAAAAAAATGTATTTAAAATTGTTTTGTTATTTTGTAGATTGTAATTGAAGGAAAAAGATGTAAAGCAGCCATTGATAATATAGTTATTACAGAGGGTAATAAATGTAATAAAAAACCTTACGTAGGAGGTAAATATTATAATATGGTATTTATGATGTATTATTTTAACTTAAATTTTGAATTGATCACATACAATTATATAATATTATCCTTATGTGATAAATTTAACCGTTTGCAGAGATCGAGAGTTGTCGTGACAACTGTGGAAAAATATCAGACTATGTTGGTTGTTCTTGTGATTGGAAATGTCATAATAATAATAACTGCTGTCCAGACATACAAATCAAATGTCCGTATAGTACGTATTATTCGTGTTTTCATACAATATTATTTATAATTTATTAACATAAAATTATAAAAATTTATTAATTTACAGTCAAACCTATGGACGATATTTCTAGATTATATTTAGCTACTACAACTCCTGCTACACGGGTCTCAATGATGACTTCAGAAAAAAATAAAATCTTAAATGTAACAATTATTCCCAAAAATGGATTCAACGATACAACAACAATAATTAACATGTCTACTTTAATGAGTACTGACAAGTTATTGAACACAACTCATTATATTAATTCAACATTAAATGGTTTAAGAAATCGCCGTTCACCAAAGATTGTCAATTATTTAAACATATTTACCTTTTCCAATAAAAACTTGACTGACACACTTCAACCAAATTTTGAAAACTCTCTAATACCTTTAAAACATAATCAAAATTTAAATACAAACGCATTTTCATTCAACAATAATAATTGTAGTAATCTACCGGCTGTAACAACTGAGTTTATTAATCCTTTAGTGAACTTGAAAGAAAACGGTGAGTTTAAAAAAAAAAATCAGTATATATTATTTTTACATATTTTGATATTTATATTTTTTAATTTTTTTTTGTACAGAAAATGCTATATTGTTGTATGTATATAATACCATTTATGTTATTGGATACCTTGTTACTGTCGGTGCTATGCTATTCATTTTAAAGCGCTCTTATTATTTTTTAAAGTTTCTTGTCAAGAAACCAATCAATGTGATCGATCAAGCTTTCATTGAGAAAAAAAACTAGAGTTCTTATTAGGTATATTAGATAGAAATCTAATTTACAAGAATTCATTTTATATTTCATTGGTTACTTTTTTTTTTAATGTATTAATTATTTTGATTCATTTTAATATATTTATTGAACTATTTGTCAACATTTTTAAATAATCTAATTACTGCAATTTTTATTTTTATACTCTTTATACTGTATTAATTATATAGGCATCAAGAATAATATAACTTTCAGTTTTCACTTACTGTTATTTTAATTTAAATAAAGGTCGTATTTAATTATACTTGTTAAGCATGTTTTGTTATTATTGATTAAAAGAAAAAAATTAAAAACATATTATGTTCCTATAGAAACAAATACTGAAAATATGAACTGCTTTTTTCCTCTAAAATATTTATGCTAGAAAAACTGCAGTTATTTTTTGAAACCATCAAACCCGCAATATCTCCAAAGGTGCGTAATAGTTATTTAGATAATGTTATGATTGTATTTTGTTTAACTTATTTAGCCTAGAAATGAAAATATGTTAATCTGCTTATATATTTTAATAGTTCATACGTGATTGCGTTACAAGGAAATGCGAAAAAACACCTTTATAGATAAAGCCAGTAAAATAGGCCACTAACTGACAATTATTTAACTTAAAAATTAAATTATACAAAAATTAATAAACGAAGAAGCCAAATGGTTTTATAAGAGTATTTACTATCATGTATTTTCTTAAAAGATTTCTTTGATCCAAAATTTATTCTATTTTACAATATTTGAAATTTTTGAAAAAATGTCTGCAGTAGTAATTATGTCATAGTAGGTATTTAATAAGCTTAAGAATAGTTAAGCTATTTTTAAACTTATGTAAGTAGACTCCAGTATCATCAATGGATGACTGCTTTATCCAATTTTTTTTTTCATGTTTTTAGATTAGTATATAAATATAGGTTCTAGATCAAAACTAGTTTATATTATCTTTAAAAAAAACTCGTATTATATTACATTATTTTTAATTTACAGTAGGCTTTCAAATATATTATACAGTTATCGAGTATACAAGTTTAACTTAAAAATTATTTTAGTACTTGACTAGTTTATTATTACACCGTCTCTAGCCCCTGTAATTTACGGCGAAGGAATATATCCACGTAAGAATATAATTTTTCTTTGTAGATATAAACTTTATTTTGTGTGCACTCTACGAAGTACATGAGTGATATTAAATAATATTTTAACAATCATCTTAAAAATTGATTTTTTTTTTAAATATTTTACCAAACAAAACCTTATAGTTTTTTGACTGTTTTTAAATATTACGCAGTTGAAGTTTGTAATTATTTTTGTTCACGTGTGCTTAGATTGCATGGGTAAATTTATCGGACGACCGTAAGTTTACATACAAGACATAGATATACCTAGCATGTATATTGTACAAATACCAATAAATGTATGACATAAATATTGAATTTTTGCTTGTTAAGTTGTTTGACATAATTATTAAGACATAGATCATTGAGTCTCTTTACAACTGTTAAAATTGATGGAAAAAACGTCATAAATGATCAATTTTTATCATAATTTTGTAAATTTTACAGATATAGAATACATTGATGATATGGTAAACCATTAATAAAATTATCACGTCAAGTCAAAAAAGAGAAATTTGAGATTTTTTCATTGATCAATCAAGAAATGTGTTTTTATGTTATGTAAATTATTTATTAATATAATATATAATCTATAGTTGACCTTTAATGTTATTTTTGTTTATCGCTGATGATGTTCCGGTAAGTGATAAAGAGGATGTCGTGGTGTACGTAGCTCGCATACACGACAGTTTTGAATTTAGTTATAGAGTGAATAGTTCACATTCCTATTCACAATGGTCGGATTCAGTGCTGTATTTGTCTTTTTCGCTTACTTGTATATGAGCAAAGGTTAGTACATAATTTTTAATAGGTTTAATTTAAAAATAGGTTTTCATAATAAACTATGTGTTGTGTGCTAAATGTTTATAGCATTATAACTATTTATATTTATATTTATATTTTACCATTACTATATAGTATACAATCACTAAAAACACAACAACTTGAATATTAAACTAATACATAAGATATAAGACAAGTATTATATTGGGTAAAATATTTGGTATTATACGTATATTGGGTTTGATCGGTTTTGAGTAATGCCATGAGTTTTAAATTTAAGAGTATAGTTGGTATTTAATTGTTAAAAAATAGATTTTAATTAATAAATCTGATACAGTATTTGTGTTAGTTTATATTAAAGTAATTTTAGTTTTAATTATTTGACATCATAGAGATAAGAACACTAAAAACTGTTAAAAGCAATACAATATTTTTTTGATTGTCCTAATATTAAATGAACATTGAGTTTTTTTTATTACTAAAGACCTACAATTAGTACTGCTACCCATATACTTGATGTATAGTGAATTATACTTAAAAACTAATCTAATAACTTAAAAACTCCTGACAGTTGGGAAACTTATGTCAATTTGCAATAATAAGAATTTTAATAAAATCAACTATTAAGTAAATCAATAAATACAATTTCGTAAATGCTGATTTTGAAATCTACGTTATACACGAAATAAAGATAAAAATAGAAAATGCGAGATTCTGCCAAAAGAGCTAACAAAAAAACACTAGGGATTTTTAGAATCTTACAATTTTGTGCCAGTTAAAAAAAAATGATAAATTTCTATTTGATACAATTTTAAAAGACATATCAGAATCGTGGCTTCAGTCTTTATTTTAGTTTTGTTTGTATAATTGTTATTTCTACTTAAGTACTGTTTTTTTTTTTAATATTATTATTATTATAGATTAATGGTTTTTGAGATTATTTAATAATAATAGTAATAAAAAAAATTATATTTTTGTTATTATTATAGCCTACGGAAATTAGATTATTGCAATAATTACATTTTGAACTTGACGAATAAAAATAAAATTATGTTTTTAATTCCAGTATTAGAATGTGATTCTACATCGAGAATTCGATGTCCGACCATACAGCTGGACAACGGTCGAGTGAAATTGCGATCTTCCGGACGAGTAGCAAGGATTAGTTGTCTGTCGCCGTTCAAGCTGGTTCGTGGTAACGAGATAGCGACTTGTGTTCGAGGACAATGGGACACCGAGAATCCAATTTGCGCCAGTAAAGTTTGATTTAATCGATTCACAAGTAGTACATATATAGTAGTATATGGTAGCCAAGTTAAACAATTTAGGATATAAAAATCGGCAGGGCAAAAATGTTCAAAACTAACAGATTATGAATATCGACAGTACAGATAAAAAATATACTTAATTGTTGTATTTAATTCATTTGTGACCTCTTAAATAATATTATAATAATATGTTTAATTATTATTCTATATTAATCAAGTTGTCGAAAAAATTAAAAATAGTGGATTATAACCATTTTGAGTTTTTCATATGGATGATAATAATTGTATTATTCTACAACATAAATGCCATTTGACAATTAAAAAAATAGTTTTTATTGCATTACTGATATAATTTAGTAATTAAACAGAAAAATTCTTTAATAGCTCAACCAGAAATTTTCTAAAAGTCCACAATATAAATTTTTGCTAAATATTATTATTATAGTTTACAAAATAAAATGTAATGTGTTAATGTGTATCACTCAAATATAGTCTAGACCCTGGTCTTCATGCGGTAATTAAAACACGAAAAAATAAAATGACCCGATGATGGAGGGATCTTATCACCATGGTTGTATGTGTTACTAAATTGTAGTAGTAGTATGCCGATTTGGAATAACTTTATGGATGTAGGTAATGCATTCATATAATGTATTTTATTATTTATAAAATATTCAATTTTCTTTAATATTCATAACGGGTGGTTCTTAAAAAATCGTGTAAAATTAATAATCGAAGAGCATAAAATATGCTCATAGAATGATTTACAGAAGTGTTCAGTTATTAAGTCATGGAGTTATGATGTATACTACCCGGAACACAATTATTTCCGTTTCTTATCTATAAATTGAACGACCGTACAGTATATAATATAATATACTGAATACTGATGTTACAATACATCAGTCGGGTTACAGTGTTATATTCTAAATGATTTATAACTTGTCTAGTACTTTTTTTGTTCTTGCTTAATTTTTAGCAGTACTTTTTATAGCTATATATTTCCCATGAAAAATCAAATAATGATAGTGGATTTATTGTCTCAAACTACATTAAATATAAATTAATAAACTACAATATTTTTAGGACAGTTTTTGGGTGATTTTAACCAAGTATAAAATATAGGTCTAAAATTATGTATAGCATATGTACGTGGCTTTGCCTAAAAATATATAGAATAAATAAAAACATTAATAAATCATAACAATAATTAAAGTTTTTTTTTTTTATTTGTTTAACGATCATATTTTAAAATTAAATGATGGTTCATAAATAAATTAGCTTATAAAACTTCCGAATAAATAATATTTTTAGTTTAATCACCAGCAGAAATCAAAGTTATTTGATGTTTAAAGTTCCTAGTTTGAGATAAATCTCCGTATAAATAAGTATAATTGACTATGGGAAAAAACGCTACTTATAGATCTATCCAATGTATTCGAATGCCTTGATTCCAACATATTTTATTTATTCTCTAGTTCTATTCTGTAGATTCAGAGGTTAGATATATTGTACATACAAATATTATCAGAGCTTCAACTTTTAAGTTTAATTTACGAGATATTATTTAATTCAAAGTCCAGTAGTAACAATAACAAAATAAATACATTGTCTCATTTTGTTTTTTTTATCAGTAACTTTACAGCCTAACGAAATTTGACATATGCTGACAAAGTACAAAAAATAATTTATTTTATTGTGATAATAAAATAAATTGATAAACATTATTATTATTCTTTCTATCACCTAAAACTTAAAGCCTTGTGTAAGGAGAGTGATGGAGGGGATGTCGAAGGATAAAATTGGTAAGAAAACCTTCAAGAAAATGTCAAGAATCATTGCGCAAAATTCAGAAAAATTAGCGGCGACAAACTAAAAACCGCTTACTATATTATTTATTTATTTTTTATTTTTAATATAAGACATTCCTAGCCATCTGTGGGTTATCTTACTACATTATAACATACATAGATATGGTCGATATGTATGTAGATTTTAATTACTGTTTTAATTTTTATCATCAATGACAACTCTAAACTAACAAAAATATAATATTTTTCACGTTTTACGTGAACCGTCAAAGCTTTGTGTAAGAAGCTTCTCTTTAAAATACAAAATTTAAAAAATTGGCCTTGAATTCCAGAGACCTGGGTATAGGATTATATATGTACCAAATTTTATAACCATAAGTGCAATCGTCTTGGCTGTAGATCGCTTATATACACATACACAAACATTGCCTTTTATTAATATAGATTGTCTAATGAGTATTTTAAAAGGATTGAAAAATATTTTATTTTTGTTAAGTTATTTTAGATAAAAATATAATGATAATATTAATATTAACCGAAGATTGATGGCGCATGTATAGTATAACAATCAAGTTAATAGATACCTAACTTATATTAACAAATAATATTACTTATAACTAAAGACCGGATTTATATGCATTTTAAATTGTAAAATATGCATGCAAACATGCACTAAAAAAAAGTCAAAATATGCAAGGAAAAAATGCAAAACATGCAAAATAAAATTTCAATTTTATATTTGATTTTAATTTTGCAGTGATAATTATTTATTAATTTTATTACATTTTTCATAAACAAAAAGTTACATGTATAATATAGTACAAAAATTTAATTTTTTGTTAAATTGTAATTTAATTTTTAAACATTGATATATTGTAAAAAATATTTTATTAAAATTAAATAGTAGATACATTGGTGATATACTGATATAAATAGGAAAAAAGTACGAACAATTTTATTGAAGGTAGTAAATTATTAATTTGAAAAACAATAAGTTATCAAAGTATGTTCCATGTTTATTTCCGTGAAATTATGACGGCGATCTGTAAGAATGTACTTGTATGATGAAAAACTACGTTCGACATCAACACTGGTGATTGGAGCATATTTAAAATTTGCTATTATATCCAGCGAATAATTTGGAACAGATAAATCGTCGAAATTAGCACTGTCACCTTGAAGTATTTTTGAAATTTCTTTTAAAACCATTAATCCTTTATTTTTATTCAAAACGTTTTTACATTTTGTTTTAATTATTGTACTATTTGCACTAGTAGGAAGTTCATTAACAGAGTTTTCCACTTGTTCTAAAATTTTTAACGAGTCTACAAGGGACAAATTAGAGGTTTCAAGCTTTTTGATACTTTCAACGATACATAAAAAATTTGCTTTAATGTAAGCAAGATCATATTTTACATTAAATTTATTAAAAATTGATTTACAATTTTGAATGCATTTTGTATTATCTTCTAAGTTTTCAATCACATTTTTGAACTCTTCAAAATGATCTGCGTAAAAAAAGGCCGACTCTAGCCAAGTACCCCAACGGGTAATTATTGGCTGCGGTGGTAAATGTGTAATTGGCAACATTTCTTTATATAATTGAATTCTATACGGAGCCTTTGAGATATTCTTTGAGACGTAAAATATTTGATATTATAATATTATATAAACGTACCTATGATCTATGTTTTTATTTGTATATTTGTACGGTTTTTGTTAAAATATGCAAAAATATGCAGATCATGCATTAACGTCAGAATATGCAAAAATATGCAGTATAAAATTTTGATATTTAATCAATCAAGTAATGATTTGTGGACACTCATTGACTGCATGTATATGATGTTGAAAATAACAACATGCATTTTATGCAAAATCCGGTCTTTACTTATAACTATTATTGTCTATCATTATTTTCATTCGAATCATCATTAACTAAATAAGTCTTAGGTTTATAAAAATAGTACTAGTCAAGAGAATGTTTCAATATAAGTATAATATTTTAAATTTAATATCTCATTACTGTAAATTAAAGTTTGAATGTTTTATTATATATTTTTTGACAATTTAATGAGCAGGTGGGTATTGGTAATGATCATATATAGTTCAAAAAACAATATAATATATTATTGTAATGTAGACATTTAAAGAAATATTTTAATAATATATCACAGAGGAGAGGGAACATGCGATAATAAAAAACACATTTGACATTAGTAAATATTTACATACATATTAATATTTATAAATTAAATAAAACATTATAAAAATGTAACTTACGTATCGCAGTTACTTAAAACTTAAAAATGTTTCTTAAATAAAATAATAAGATGATTCTTTTCATAATCTATTAAATAAATTGTAGAATTCGGTATCAATAATAATAATACATAGTCTGAAGTATGAAAAACGTATAATATTATTAATTTATTGCTCGGTTACGTTGCGGGCAAAGTATGAAATTAGGTACAATTACACAATTACAATGGACATAAGATAATTTATTGCTGGTTATTTAGCATATAATTATATGAATATTATTATTAAATAACACAACATATAGTAGAGCAAACTAAATTATTTTATCAATATATTTCGTGTCATATAAAATAGATTTATGATTTTCTTTTATGTAAAAAATATAATATTATTTTTATCTCACTCTTCATGCAGGTAATTAGTTATTTACGTAATTTTACAATCCATTTTCAAACATAAATTCCAAATTTTGTTATTGTCTACTTCTAATTTGTTTTATTTTGCTTTCAAATTCATCAAGAAAATAATGAGGAAAATTAAAATGCGTATTTTTTAATATTACGTTGAATATAATAAACTTTATTAAATAAAGTAAACTATCTGCAAGATCATTAAAGTAGTACTTTCTTAAAGTGCGAAATAAGTATAGTTGATTGTATTCGTCACTTAAAAGCATTATGGTCGAAGTAAATATTTAATATTAAGTACCTGCCAATTTCTTTTTTTATTCATAAAATTATTTTTATATTTAATGTTTTTGTAAACACTAAATTGTCATTTGTAGTCTATCAATATTATTATTATATTTTTATTTCTATATAATAGGAGAAGGTTGTCCTATTCAAGAGCTAATACCACACGGAAGATTGGATATTCTTAATCAAGGTGCTAAATTGGAAGTGATATGCGATTTTGGATATAAAATAGATGGCCCAAGTTATGTTTATTGCAATGAAGATTTGGAATGGAATGAAGAATTAAAAGGATGTAAAGGTGAGCAAACATATAGATACATGTTTCACAATATACATAAATATTAATGCACATATTATAATATATGAATTATGTGTAACATTGATTAGCTTATTATTAAATAAATATTTTAAACAGAGCATGATCAAATATATTTATCCTGTGACTTCGAATCGTCAGATGACAGATTTTGTGGTTGGAAAAACGATATTATTAACGACGTTGATTGGTTGGCTGATAAAATGTCATTCATTTTATTTATTAGCAGGCGCCACGTACCTCCCGGATCTTCTGAATATTTTAAAAGTTAGTAAGAGTATTACTAATTAAAAATAAAATTTAAGTTTCTTTTTATTAGGTAATTATATATCATTGGATGCCGGAAATTATGGTTCCAATACTTTCGGCCGTTTGTTATCCCCGCCAATTAGTTCAATTAAAAGTAAACAAAGGTGTTTAATATTTGCATATAAAGTTATGTCAGGAAGTTCAAGCGGTTTTCCTATTCTAAAAGTTACTTTTGGTGGCATACCTCACTGGGAAACTCACGAAGGAGAAGGAAGAGCTATAATTGGGTTGTATCAATTAAATACTACTTCTAGAGTGAGTAAATTCAATTTTTATGATTAAAACGTATATTTAAAATAATCTTTTTGTAATTTTGTAGATCACAATTGAAGGGAAGAGTTGTAAAGCAGCCATTGATAATATAATCATTACAGAAGGTGATAGTTGTAATAATCTTCCGTATGAAGAAGGTAAGTATAATACTATATTTATACTATGATTTATCATTTTACAAGTATAACTTAAATTTTAAATTTTGATTTGGTCACATACGAATATAGAATATTATTATAACGTAAAATAATTAATTGTTTATAGAGATAAACAGTTGTCATGATAATTGTGGAAAAATAACGAGTGGTAGGTGTTCGTGCGATTGGGAATGTTTTAATAACCAAAACTGCTGCTCAGACATTGAAATCAAATGTCCGTATAGTGAGTACTTTTTGACTATTGCGTTTCATCTATGTCCTTATTATACTATATTAATTAATACAAAATTCATTAATTTACAGTCAAACCAATGGACAATATCACAAGATTTTATTTAACTACTGTTACACCAACCACGCTGACTACTACAACAAAAAATAAAATATCAAATGTAACTATTTTAAACATAACGACTTCTAGTTCTTTAATAACAACTACCAAAAACTGGCATAACGATACAATAATAATTGATAAAGTCACCACAGCAAGTAATATTAAATCTTTGAACGTTACATCTACACTTGCATCCGTGTCTATGACGAATTTAACAACGATACCTATAACCATATTAATTCCATCCATTACAACATCAACTGAAAGTCCCAAAAGTGCTATGGTTTCTAATTCTACTATATCTCATTCTATTCACCCCAATACAATAACTACAAGTTTGAGTCCTAAAGTGTCAACAGATCTTCCAAGTATAATGGTGAATAATCAAAGCAATTCCTCAAAAATAATCAATACATCTTCAACAATTTTAACCCCTAATATTTCTAGTTCAACAATACAACCATTAATAAAAAACAAAACTATATCTATAACTACCTTATTACCTAATGTTACTAGTTCAGTTATTTCCAAACCAGATAAACTTAATCCTACCATAAGAGTGATTTCTATTCCTAATACTATAATAACTAAGTCCGTGGTTGAAAATTCTCCTTTAATAACTACAATTTCTGTTAATTCTTCTAACTCAACCGCTAAACCATTTTTAAAATTTCCAATAGTTTCTACTATAAAACAAATCAATTTATTTAACACAACCAATAAATATTTGGATAATAAAATGGACAATTCGACATCCACTTCGATATTAATGAATAATTCTACTAAGTTATCAGTAAAACCAAATATACCAAACAATGTTGAACAGTCGAGTAATAAACTACTTAACACTCAACAGATCAAACAAAATACCACGATTAATGAAAATAAAACCATGTTAAATAATTCAATGACTAGCAAACCGAATACTTTTGCATATATAAATGACTCCATTGTTCCTGATAAAAATATGGTCATCTTCGATATTTCTCGTCCAAATCCCAATCTAAAACAATTCGAATATAACCGTACTTTAAACAATAAACATGTCCTTAACATAACAACCGAGTCTTATAACCATTTGGATTTGAGGAATACTAGTATACCAATTCAAAATGAAGAGCCAATAATAGTTTTAAAAGCTAACGAGAAATCAGAATTGAACAATTTGGTTCATAATCATTCTATGCAAAAGTTTGATAATCAGTTGGCAGAACATGCAAAACAAAATGGTGAGCTTATGTGAAAAAAAATTAATAAGTAATAAATAGTCATTATGTATTATTGTACAATTAATTTTTAATGTATAATATAACTTTTGATTTTGTTAATAGAAAATGAGAAATCTTTTACATTTGATACAATTACTATTGTCAAATACATCGCTGTCTTAAGTGTCGTACTTCTCACTTTCAAGTTCACTTTATCCTTTATAATGTTGCGTTTCAATAAAAGACCTTTAAATGATGAAATGGATGAGCGCTTCATTGAAACGGATACTGAAAGTTCTTGTAACATGGAATTGATGAATAGTCACAAAAGAAATGAATAATCTATGTTTAAGTTTATTTTTTAATTATTTTGATACATCATGATAAGGTTTATCTCATATTATTCGTGTTTAATATTTTGACTAAATTAAATGTATGCGTAAATTAATTTTTAGATGTATATAAATTAATTCAATGTAAAAATGGTAAATTATTAATATTTTGAATTGGCCGATGTGCTTGTTTTTTGCTTTTAACGTTATTTGTTATACTTTGTGGTTTATGTGTCCAAACAACGAAGAAGTAAATTATTTCAACAATACTTAACAGGCTCACTCCAAGAAATAGACCTAAAGTTCCTCCAATTGAAACTATATTGAACAAATTATTTATTACATAAATTATTATTTTTAATAGTTTAATTATGTTGTATGTAACTTACCGATGAGGTCCATACGAGATCTTACTACATTTCTTTTAAGTCTCTCATTTGGTAGTCTATCTAATGCAATGATTAATTTTGAATCATATTTTAAATCATCGTTATCATTTTGTTCTTCAATAGTTAAGCTAATAGTATACAATATATGTTTTCCAATATGAATATTATAAAATTTTATAGTTAAAGTTTAAACTTACGGTTCTATTTCTTTGCTTAAAACTGTATATTCTGGTTCAGTACAACTAGGTATGCAATTGCATACTAATCCCAACTTATTGAAGTCGTGAGTTTTTAATGCTCTGAATATTTCTACAATAAAATGTTTTCATATTTTAATAATGTAATGACATTATATGTTTCATTGGAAATGAGCTTCAAATTGCCTTCAATTTAAATTTAAATTTAAAATATAACAGTAATAAACTTAAAAAATATCAAAATGAGAAAAAATATTTTATCAAATTAATTTTGTTCTGGGTATATGTAGTGATTTTTTTGGAATATAGATGCATGTTTATTTTGAAGTTTTATGTAATAGAATGTCCTTTAATTATTAATTAATAAACAAACTAGCTCATGTTTTGTACTTAATGAAAACAGAATAAAATAATCAATCAAAAAAAATATATAATTATGTATAATATATAATGATAACTTTTTTTTCATCTTATTAATAATTTTCATTTTAAACAATATAAATAATGTTTTCAACATTATAATTATTCAATTTATTTTTCTCTGCAGCCATAAAGTAGAAATTCCTTTAATTATTAACAGCCTAACTAGGGGAAAATTCCAATATTCTGCCAACATGGTCCGTCCCTGAATAATAATGGTAAGTATTAAATAATATTTTTATTATTATTTATCATAACAAAACGTAAACCTGAATGTTCAGTTATACAACCAAGGCCTTCGATCCCACAAACTGGTGTTCCCGCTATAAACACAAACAAATACAAATATAAATTATATAATATATTATAAATAAGTATAAAGTATAGTTGGTTTGTTTATTTAGATATGTACGAATTTTCAAATAATGAGGTGTACAATTACACATCTTGAGTTGAGCTTCAGCTCTGCAGTTCACGATACACGCGGAATAACTGTACACGTTGTAAACTTTTAAATTGTTTTCGTCAGGAAAACGACAATTCCTCTGTTTAATATCCACTTGTTTCAACAACGGGTCGTTCTCGATATCTTTAACCTATAACAATCAAAATCTATCACAATACTCGTATTGTGATGATACAATAAATATATTTATTAAAATTTAGATACAATTTACGATAAAGATACTGTACGACTATTGTACTTTACCTGGAATTTCATCATAAACGATAAACCCCAACTGACTTTAAATTTTTCTTCTTGCGGATGGTTTACGTAAGGTAAATCTTCTGGTGAGTGTATAAATAGCTATACATATAAATGTAGATTATATAAAAGAATATGTGAATAAGAATTTTTGAATAATAAATATACCTTTATAGACTCGTAAGCTGTAAAAGCAAGTTTTCCAGGTCCTAATTTTCGGTTTGATATCATTTTTAACTTTTCTCCATCTTTTCTTTAAACATAATCGCAATATACAAAAATGTTATTATGTAATGAATACACTTTATTTCAAAATTAAAATACTAAATAATTAGCTTATAAAATTAAATTCCTTTTATTTTTGGCTAATTCGCCTATTACTTCCTTAGAACTAATAGAAGAGGATGTATTACTATTAGAACAAGATGTGACCATGACGATTGAAAAAATTAAAAACAAATATATAATATGATATAAATTATCTAAGTCCATTTGAAAGCTTTTAAAAAAAAGCCATATGGTGGTAAAGTACTCCCATCTTACCCTTGTATTCCTCTGACTAGGTATTTTGAATATATTTTTTTTTTAATAATAAATAGGTAGGTATAGTTATACATACATGTACTTAACGTTTTATTTTACTCACTTTACTGTGTGTAAGGAGTTTACAATAAAACATACACCATTTTCAGTTATTACTGGTAAGAATTGATCGCAGCATTCAAACGGTTCATTATTCCAATAGCAGTTGCCAATCAGATCTTTACATTTTAATCGAATCTATCAGACGAGTTAAACAATTTAATTTTACTCGCGTGCAACGAATGCAATACCGCCGTCTGAGCCTGATTACTATGTAATTAAAACAATTTTTTAACATAATACTTTATCTAAGTGATCCGTTACAATTGAACAATATTTATTCTTTATTATGTGTTTAATTATAAATTATAGATTTTCTTAAAACGCCCTAAATTTATACTTCTTACACGAAATTTAAAAATGTATTAAACTATTTGCTCAACCTCAGAAGTCTCATATCTACAATCACACTTTTCATATAAATTAATAAACAACAAAAATTAATGTGCAATAAGTACAGTTTGGTTAAATGTTTACTCAAGTAAAAAAACTAATCAGTTGTAACAGCTTTATCATAAAGCGTTTCTATTCATGATTTTTTTTTTTTTAATTGAAAAATCAAAAATAAAGCCTAAGTTATGCATATAAGTGCATGATAAATAACGATAAACTTGTTGGTATACAGCATGAAATTCGAACAGACCCTTTTAAGAGGTGGCATACAATTCAGATATTTATTTGTTTTTAGCATGCAATTCGGATGCAGTCTGCACAATGTATACCAACTATTTATTACATTTATCAAATTTTGAATTTTCAGCAAACGATTTGCTGAATTTAAAAGTTGTATTTTTTTTTTTTTTTTGTATATATATTATATATTTTTTTCAATAGTTGTAGTTTGTACGCTCGGATATCCACAACACACCAAAACGTAATCTACGATAGTCTTATAAACTGCATATTATATTATGATGTTGACTACTGAACATATTGATAAATATAAGACTTAGCTATAGGTACTGTAGTAATCTGGCTTCGACAGTCACATAATTTATATTTTAAAATTTACTTTAGGTATGATTTCATCGTAATTTGTAGTGCAGTTTAACTTTCCTTTTTTGACAATGGGTAACGCACGCATAACATGTACCTTCGTAGAACGCTATGTCCTCTAGATAATAAATAATATTTGAATCTAGATCAATGCCATACAATCTGTAATTATTATCAAAAACAATTTTTAAAATATCTGTTATTAATGATAAAACGTAAATATAATATAATAATTCAATATGGCATTCGCACTTAGAAACCAAGTCGTAGAACTTGTCTGGTGACCTTTCTTCGCAAATCGATACCGAGAGGAAACTCGTGTTCCAATCCAGATACGTAGTGTCAGCGACAAAGCTGACAGCGTTATTGTTGTAAGCGTGCCAAGTGGCTAGGAGATATTCTCTCATAGCAAGACAGGATATGAAACACGTCAAAACCCAAAACACTCTTGTGGATAACAAAAAATTATCGAAAAATGTTTAAAAATTAGTGACAAGTTTCTAATTTCTATAGTAGCTAGTAATATTTTATAAATTCTAATTAATAACTATATTATTATATTAAATATGCGATTTGTTTTTTGAGAAATTAATAGAAAAATTATTTACTAATATAAACACAAATACAGTAGAATCAGAAGAAACCACTAAAACGAGCATCGCTTAAACAGATTTGGACAAACGCGACAGCACACTTCACTGCTTAACATTTACTATATATGTTTAATGTTTACATCACAATATAAGTGACTTATAATATAGCCTTTGACTCACCTCTCCGTCCAATGACGGCGTTTATCGGTAATGTAATTGAAGCCATGTACCGTGCTGTTGCTAAAATATGTCCATATTCTACGCATAGTGGCGTTAAAATGATACATATTTATTGCCTTCGTACCGGTTAGTATACATTTTAAAGTTCATTACTCATATAATGATGGTGCAAATTGGGTTAGTATCCTATCAATGCTTTTTATCAGGGGACAGCACGAAAATATATAATTCCATATAACATAAATTAATGTAACGTAATATACAATTTAAGTATGTATTATTTCAACTCAACCCTGCAATTTAATCGTTGCGAATTTTAAACAGCAGTAAGGTTGATTTAGAGTTTAGATTTTAGACTGTTATCTATATATCATACCTATTATACATCATATACATATAAATATATAATTGTTTAATGCATATTGTAGTTAACGTACACGTTTCAACTTTGGTATATGATATACCAACTAAATATCTATGTATAGTACGTAAAAACATTAAAAACAAATCGTAAAATACGTATCTGATCTATTTGTAATTTACATCTGTGACTCAAGTCACATTATAAT